GTAACTCTTTTTTTTTTTTTTTTTGAGTTGGAGTCTCACTCTGTCGCCCAGACTGGAGTGCAGTGGCCACTCCCGGCCACCGCAGCCTTGACCCGCTGGGCTCCGGTGATCCTTCCGCCCCAGCCTTCCAAGTAGCCGGAATTACAGGCATGCGCTACCACACCTGACTGATTTTTTTTGATTTATTGTAGAGATGAGGTCTCGCTGCCCAGGCGGGTCTTGAACCCATGGGCTCAGGCAATCCACTCACCTCAGCCTCCCAAAGGCGTGGGATTACAGGCTGAGCCACCAAGCCCAGCTTTTTAAAAAAAATTTATTGTAGAGATGAGGTCTTGCCAAGTTGCCTAGGCGGGTCTTGAACCCGGGGGCTCAGGCAATCCACTCACCTCGGCCTCCCAAATTGCTGGGATTACAGGCTGAGCCACCGAGTCCGGCAAGACAACTCTTAACAAAGGAGTTGATTTAGAAATGTTCACATTTGGGGGAGGGGGGGAAAAAAAAGAAATGTTCACATTTTTAGAAATGTATTCAGGATAAGTAGTTTTCTGATATTCTAATGAAACTTAGAGTTTAGCTTTAATTCATAAAAATCAGATGTAGATTAAATTCCTGATGCCATATTGTGAATTCCATAAAGTTAACAGATATACAACACATAAAACAAACTTTGGCTGCTCCCACCCTTATTCTGGAAGGTCATTTAAGATTGAAAGAACCCAAAACAAAAACCCACAAGGTATATGAGAATAGTTTCCTTCCCATTAAGAGTGCTGGTCTATTTATCATAATACTATAAGAAAGGGATTGGCAGTAGGAGGAAGAGTAGGGGATACATAACATCAATAAGGGTGCATGATTCCAAACTAAGCGAAGTGAGGATCAACAGGAGGCACAAACTTCACCTATACAATGACCACTTATGTACCTCATCCTGAATTGTACCCCACATCTTTAAAAAGAAAAAAGCATTTTTAAGAGTGCTGTTCTCACACTCTCAGTTAACTGAAACAATACAAGATAATTCACCAGATTTTTCAAGTCCAGCCCTCTTACTGAAGAAAATCAAAATTCTAAATCAATAAATGTGAAAAAGTATGTTGGGCTTAAAAACAAAGACCTTCAAGACTTAAATTTGACCTTTTAAAAGGGAAGATTGAGAAGGCATGGTTACTAAATAGGATTATGCTCAATTTACAGTCTTTCCGACATACAGTTTAAATTTCTTCACATTAGACACAAAGTACATACTTTACTTATACAGTACCTCTCAAGATGAAAAAACCTATACTATTCTGTACAATACTCAGCATATTATTAATGCTCAGAGAGTCACAGAATTTTAGAGCCAGAAGATATCTTAGCTGTAATTTAGATTCAAAGATAGTCAACTCCTTTTTCTCCCTATTTCAGAATGATCTCTTTTGCAGAACTCCAATACTTAAAACAGATCACCATTTGTTCCACAGAATAATGCTATGCTTTAAGTGATATTATAACTTTGCATCAACATGGCTTGGGGGAGCATAACAAGAAAAAGCAACAGTTTGTTTGCAAGGAGCATATTTAAGCTCTGCTCTTTTTCTTTTCACCAAGACAAGGACTTGGCAATAGACTTTTCCTATCAGCAAGGATGATTATGCCATTCAAGACAATACTGTTAGTACACTTCGAGCTCAAGATAGAAAAAAGGGGGTCCTGAGATGTGGAGCACTAGCACTACCCCAACACATCACGGTGGCACTGACAACTGAAACAGAAAAGGCCAAAAGGGTTCTCACCGAAGCTGTTCCAGTAGGAGACAGATCTTCTCTGGAAGTATGAAGCCAGTGATTGTACACAAATACGCTTTTGCCACCACTGTGCTTGGCTGAGGACAGCAATAGGTTGATATGAAATTATTAGGCTCATTATTTCTGTCATCAAACAAAAGAAAGAAAACATTAATATTCATCACACTGTCACTTTCAAAGTGTTAAAAACAAGCAGCAAGCCAGGCCCCTACAAGAGCCAGGTGTTCAGATACCCACAGGTCGGAGTTACAGAAGACAGCGCCAAGCCAGTCGAAGAGCTCCAGGGTGCTGCAGGCCACCTCCGGCTCTCCCCCGAGCTCACCGCTCTGCAGCACAGGGCACTGGAGATCTCTCACTGTGCTCAATTCTACTTTTGGCTGATGCTCCTGAATTTGGTAACTGGAAAAGTATGACATCATCGTTGATTCTTCTGTACCTTAAAACACACCATATTTGAACACTGTAAACATGGCCATTTGAAGATTGTAAATGACTTCAGTAACTCCCCGAATACACCCCATTCTCATTTGAGAATTATGGGAAGCTGTTGGGATTACATAAGATGGAAATTGTGCAAAGCTGTATTCAAATTAAAATCATATAAAGTTGCTTTCAGTTCCTTGTGCCCAAACTCTGTAAGCATTCATCCTCTTTCACACTTTTTCTGGAAAAGGACAGTACTTTCAGATTGGACCCACACTAGTTTCATTGTTCTAATAAGAAAAACTTCAACGCAATACATAAAACCAAAAGCATTTCTGATGTATGAATAACATTAGTGATCTCTACAGAAAAGAAGCATATTTGCACAATCTCTATTAAAGGAAACAGAAGAAGAATGGAATGATGATAGAATCTCATTCAAGCTTGCCTTTGAAAACCATGTCAAATCCAGTGTATCTTTTCAGGGATGTCTGTACAGCAACAGACTTGGAAAACAGACATAGCAGCACCTTCTGGAGCAAAGGCAGGGCTGCTTACTGTCCAGTATAATAGAAATAATGTCTCCTTCTCTTCTCCACACAGAGGTCAGCAGGCTTATGCCCATTACAAAGGATTTGAATTCTGTATGCTCCAGGCTCCTCTCCTATAAGGCAACCCACTGCATGGCCAGCATCACCTGGCCTCACTTCCCAGCCATCACTTTGGGTTCCTCTATGGATGGGAAATGGGACTTGGTAAACTGGTGCAAATACTGATGATCTTTGTGGTAGTGAATTCTAGGTCTCGACTTGACTAGATTAAGGGACATTTAGATGGCTAGTAAATCATTATTTCTAGTGTGTCTGTGAGAATGTTTCCACAGGAAATTGGCATGTGATGGTGCACTGAGTGGGGATGGTGAAATGAGTGGTGAAGATCTGCCCTCAGTGTGAGTGGGCACCATCCAGTTGGCTGGAGGTCCTGACAGAACAAAAAGGCAGAGGAAAGGCAAATTTGTTCTCCCCCTCCTGAAGCTGGGGCACCCTTCTTCTCCTGCCCTTGGACATCAGAAGTTTAGGTTCTCCAGACTTCAGAATCTGGGACTTGTACCAGTGAATCTGTGGGTTCTCAGGCCTTTGCCCTTGAGTTGAGGATTACACCACCTGCTCTCCTGATTTGCAGGCCTTCCGACTTGAACTGAGTCATTCTACTGGCATCTCTGAGTCTCATGCTTGTGGACAACCTCAGCCGCCATAAATGCATGATCCAATTTCCCTAGTAAATCCTTTCCCATCCATCCACTTATCCTATTGGTTCTGTCTCCCTGGAGAACACTGACTAATACACTGTGGCTATTGCTATTGCTATTGCTATTGCTATTGCCATGAGAAATTAAGTCCTTGGTCAAGTGTCTTCCGCCAGCATCAGTGAGACTGCAGCAGACTACCTTTTAGCCTGTAAGTAGGAGAAAATCCCAAACCTTTCACAGTTCCTGACAAGCCCTTAAAGGAATTAGGACCTTAGGAACAGAGAGCTATCTAACATCCATTACGTGGATTATCCTCACAGAAGACTTCACGTGACTGAAACCTCAGTAAGTCTCTCCGCCTTCTTTTATATCTAGCATATGTAAGAGAGGTGCCGAAGTCCAAACCTAGGACTCATGGAAGCAACCTGGAGCACACAGTGACCAGAAACTTCCTGTGAGGAACCAACAGTAAGCACATTTCTAAAATAGACACAGTGCTTCCCTATCCTCCAAAAGAGAATACTATACCACCATAATTACTGATGGTTTGATCCACTGTAATCTTGTGATAGGTCAAAGATGCACTTTTAAGAGGAACAACACACATGGCTGTCAGGTAGATTACCATGTTTGATGAATATCAAACTTTGAACTAAATTTAGTGTTCTAATAAATTAAAAGTTAAAACAAATTTCATCTGACATTTAATGGTATGCCTGAGTTTCTACTCTGTGATAATGAATAAGCAGATTGTGTATATAACTATAATTGATGCTCTTTTAAAAATATTATAGCCAAGGCTGTTTGCAGTAAGCTGGAAGGGAAGAAAGGGAGGATCAGATAAAAGTTAGCAGCTCTGAAGCCACTGTCAAGATCTCTGGATCTACATATTACCCAAGGATATTGAAGTCAATGGCTTGCATAACCAGACTATCCTAAACTATAGTTTTCAGAGATGTCAGAAGGCCTGAAGCAGTCTCCTTAGTAATATTTATACATATACAATATCCCTTGACCACAGGGATGGATCATCATTCAATCCTCCATTACTGCTCTTTAATTAACAATTAGATTTCAAAATCACTGTATCATTACACAACTTATTCTTCTTACCTGCATTATGCCAAGCGAAAAGAAAATCAAATTTCAATGGCTTCTTTTCTTTGAAGGACCAAGATATTCGTTCATACTTCTTAGAATCCAGGTTAAGGGATAAATCCATCAAATCAATGGAAACAACTTTAAAGATGAAAAAAGGAATATATATTTCACTCATATATACATAGCTTGCACTGTGGTGAAAAGTGTTATATTTTTTAAAAGTGGAATTTTTGGAAGTTTTATGGGTAATAAATATTCTTTTATTCTTCTTACACTCCCTTTTGGTTGACCAAATCAAAAATATCTCTTTGAGAGCATTTCTAGCATCGAGAACAAATAAGAATAGACTTTTTTTTTTTTTGAGTTGGAGTCTCACTCTGTCACCCAGACCGGAGTGCAGTGGCCACTCCCGGCCACCGCAGCCTCGACCTGCTGGGCTCCGGCGATCCTTCCGCCTCAGCCTTCCAAGTAGCCGGAATTACAGGCATGCGCTACCACGCCCGGCTGATTTTTTGATTTATTGTAGAGATGAGGTCTCGCTGCCCAGGCGGGTCTCGAACCCGCGGGCTCAGGCAATCCACTCACCTCAGCCTCCCAAAGGCGTGGGATTACAGGCTGAGCCACCGAGCCTGGCAGAATAGACATTTTAAATTTATATATTTCCTAGGTTCAAAGACCATGGGCAGACAACCTTGGGAGGTCAAGTCTAATCTACTTATGGATGTGGCAGCCTTAACTATTGATGGTCAAACCAGACACTGTCAGCAAAACATCTCTTCACTCATGAGTGAATTTCTAGTAGTAACCATAAAGACTTGGGGCCATCAAGGCTAGGCACAGTGGCTCATGTAATTTCAACACTTTGGGAAGCTGAGGTGGGAGGATTGCTTAAGCTCGAGTTTGAGACCAGCCTAGGCAACATAGCAAGACCCCTATCTCCACAAAAAATTTTTTAAAAAATTAGCTGGGCATGGTGGCACATGCCTATAATCCCACCTCCTTGAAAGGCTGAGGCAGAAGGATCACCTGAGCCCAGGAAGTCAAGGCTGCGGCAAGCCATGATTGTGCCACTGCACTTCAACCTGGGTGGTGACAGAGTAAGACCTAGACACACACACACACACACACACACACCCAGAGCAATCAATGGAAATTCTTCATTAAAAAAAAAAAGTTAGTCGGGCTCGGTGGCTCAGCCTGTAATCCAATCAATGGAAATTCTTCATTAAAAAAAAAAAGTTAGCCGGGCTCGGTGGCTCAGCCTGTAATCCCGCGCCTTTGGGAGGCTGAGGTGAGTGGATTGCCTGAGCCCGCGGGTTCGAGACCCGCCTGGGCAGGTGAAACCTCATCTCTACAATAAAATCAAAAACTTAGCTGGGCGTGGTAGTGCACGCCTGTAATTCCGGCTACTCGGAAGGCTGAGGTGGAAGGATCACCGGAGCCCAGCAGGTCGAGGCTGCAGTGGCCGGGAGTGGCCACTGCACTCCAGTCTGGGCGACAGAGTGAGACTCCAACTCAAAAAATAAAAATAAAAAAGTTGTAGGCTCCTATCTTGGGTTTGTTACTTTGGATTTTTGACCCCAAAAATATATATCTAATGAACTGGTCCAATTCTATGACCTTATAAAATGCAGTCTATGGATGAAGAGAAATAAATTTAAGCATCACCTTATCCTTTGTGAAGCCCCTTGAGTCAGAAGATGTACAGATAAGAAAAAGCCATTTTTTTCTGAACAAAGAGATTAGAGGTAATTCAAACATTCAAATTGCTACAGGAAGATTATAGACATCTTTGAAACTCATGGAGCGCACAAAATACTTACTAAATTTCATAACTTTTCTGCCAGAATACTGAGATGGACGACCTTGAAGTCCAGTTTCTTCGTAAGTGTCTTTGTCCAGTGATAAAATTAGTTTCCCTATAAATCAAATAATAATTCCCATTTAAAAAGATGCTAAAAATATGACTTAAGTTCTTTGACTAAAATAAATCAAGGGAAATTGAGCAGTTAGATATTGATTAGATAAGTTGCACACAAGGATCTTTTTTACAAGATTATTTATATATACATCAAATTATAATACACAAATATTTATACATTATGCATACAAGGACATTATTTATAATAGTGAAACTAGAAATCATTTAAATTTCTATTAAGGATGAAGTTAAAACATCATGATAAACCTGTTCTTAAACAGTAAGTTAGAACTGTATGGATTAATATGGAAAGATTCTATGACATGAAGGTTGGGAGAAAAAGCATATTGAAAAACTGTGGTATGATGTAATTTATGTAAAAAAAAAAGAAGAAGAATTTTTATGTGTGTCTATAAATTCAAAGAAAATGTCTAGAAAAATAAATACAAACCTTTTGACAACAGCTCCTTCTTAAAAGGGAGTGAGTTGGAGGGAAAGGAATAAGGGGAGACCTTTGCTTTACTCTCTATAGATGTGTGATAATCTGACTTTTTTTGTTTACAGTATGCATTTCTTTTATAACAAAAGAAAAAGTGAGTGTTGTTACCATTTGGTAGCAGAGCAACAGTATTATCTTCATCAACATTTGTATTGTATGTTAGCGCATAGCAAGAACCTGTAAGACAAAGTCCAGAGGAGAAATTCAAACAATGAAAAAACCATACCTGTAAAATGTTAGTGGAACATTTTCAAATGATAACAAATCTTCCAGGTACTTAATGGTCAGTCTCTACCACTGTATCTACCACTACTCCAACTCACTCAATAAACCTCACTCCTGCTGAGGGTAAGCTGGAGCACACAGAAGGCCAAGCTCCAGCTAGTTGACTTCCCCATCAAGGGCCTACTTGTGCAAGTTTCCTGTCATCAAATAGAAAATAGACTCTCCCGTGCCTTTGGGAGGCTGAGGTGAGTGGATTGCCTGGGTCCGTGGGTTCGAGACCCGCCTGGGCAGCGAGACTTCATCTCTACAATAAATCAAAAAATCAGCTGGGCATGGTAGCGTATGCCTGTAATTCTGGCTACTTGGAAGGCTGAGGCGGAAGGATCACCAGAGCCCAGCAGGTCGAGGCTGCGGTGGCCGGAAGCGGCCACTGCACTCCAGTCTGGGCGACCGAGTGAGACTCCAACTCAAAAAAAAAAAAGAAAATAGACTCCGAACGGCATGTGTACTCGTTGAGATTCTGGTCAAGAGGCACAAAGTAGATACTAGGTAAGCATACATACCTTAGAAGCAGTTCCAGGTTAACATTCAAAAGCTACTCAACTTAACCTCTCCAAGTGTCGGTTTTCTCACCTGTTAAATAGGGGCCATAGACCTGCTTTACAGAATTGCTGAAAGGGTTAAATTTGGTAAGGTATTTAAAAGTGTCTGCTGGTCGGGCTCCGTGGCTCAGCCTGTAATCCCACATTTTGGGAGGCCGAGGTGAGTGAATTGCCTGACCCCATGGGTTCGAGACCCGCCCGGGCAACTTGGTGAGCCCTCATCTCCACAATAAATCAAAAATTAGCTGGGTGTGGTAGTGCGTGCCTGTAGTTCCAGTTACTTGGAAGGCTGAGATGGAAGGATCGCCAGAGCCCAGCAGGTTGAGGCTGCGGTGGCTGGGAGTATGCCACTGCACTCCAGTCTGGGTGACAGAGTGAGACTACAACTCAAAAAAAAAAAAAAGTACCTGCTACAGCAAGTGTCCACATTATTTGCAAAGTAGTATCAGACTTCAAAATAGGTGAAAGAATAATGTTGATGAGTCCAAAGACAAGATGCCCAGTTTATAAGTAGTCTGGCAATGTCAGAATGAGAGGCGCTACCAGTAAGTAGAATTCTTCGTAGCTCCACTGGAGAGGATACACATGGGGGTTACCACAAGACAAGTGTGTGGCCATCATACAGTGACTTATAAGGAGAGAGTGAAATTTCTAAAGACACTCTGAAATACACTTCAAACAAATGGCTCCCAGGAAACAACTGTGACAAACCAGTCAACCCATCAAATATGGTTGGGAATGGGGTAAGCAGAAGTTCAGGCCAAAAAATCTAAGCAGAAGACATTGAACCTCAATGAGCACATGGCTCTGTGAACCGCAGCTGTGGTTGCATCAGGAGACCAACCTTCTGAGACAGCTGTGGAGACTGCTGAGAGCACAGCATCTTTGCAGCCACATACCCAACAGCATTGCATCTTAACACAGATTGCAAATTTCTCCTTTCTATTAAGCTTTGTTTTAAGATGGCGGATACCCTCATGTTACAACATGCCCATTCAACAACACTTGTAGGCAATTGTAATCAGAAACCACCACCTAAAGAGGGCACAAGAAAGAGTAGGAAGAGAATGGGGAGAGGGAGTTGGGGGGAAGGTGAATGTGTACATGCACTTGACCACACAGATTATCCCCACAGGTCCTGTTTAAAACAAGAGAAGAGACCTAGTATTGTGATATCTCAGATATTGCCCAATTTTTCTTACCTTTCTTTACAAAGGTGCTGATAAATTCATGTGTAATTAATTCATGAAGTGGTAAATTCTTCACAAAGTAATAGGGCCCAGTTTCCATGACCAGGTTTTTCAGCTCTTTTGATAGTATCCCACATTCAGGAATGAGAAGTGAAACCTAATGAAACATGTAATACAAATGAATTCTTACTTTCATGAAGATTAACACATTGGTTTTTATGAAGGAGATAAGATCTCCACAGGTGTCACTGGAACAAATAACACAGACAACAAAACTCAAGTTAACTTACAAATCTCAGGCAAAGAGAAATTTGACAATGCAAGTTTTTTATTTCTGCATTCAAACATATAAAGCTGGGTGCAGGGGTTCACACCTATAATCCCAGCACTTTGGAAGGCTGAGGTAGCAAGACTGCTTTGAGCCCAGGAGTTTGAGACCAACCTGGGCAACAAGGCAAGACCTCGTCGCCACAAAACATAAACAAATTAGCTGGGAGTGAGGGTGCATGCTGTAGTCCCAGCTACTCAAGAGCCTGAGGCAGGATGAACACTTGAGCCCAGAAATTTGAGGCTGTGGTGATCTGTGATCATGCCACGGCACTCCAGCCTGGGTGACAGTGAGAGTCTCAAAAAAAAAACCCCCAAAAACCAGAAAATAAAAACAGAAACAACAAAAACACAAGAATATGGGATAGAGAATGAGCTGAAACATTTTAATGGAAAGGTCTGGCTTGCATTTTATGTTTTGTACATGAACAATGCTGTATATTTTATGTCCTGTTCCCTTACTACTTTATTTTCAAGGAAATACAGTATAATTAAATACATTTTGATTTATTTATCCTGGTTCTATCCTTGAATGAAAGGAACTGTCTCTTAGGGCATATGGAACTTTAAACCCTAAAAGACAGCCAATTATTAAGAGTTTATGTGCAGCTGGGCTCGGTGGCTCAGTCTATAATCCCAGCACTTTGGGAGGCCGAGGCGAGTAGATTGCCTAAGCCTGCAGGTTCGAGACCAGCCCGGGCAACTTGGCAAGACCTCGTCTCCTCAATAAATAAAAAATTAGCCAGGCGTGGTAGCGCGCGCCTGTAGTTCCGGCTTCTTGGAAGGCTGAGGTGGAAGGCTTGCCGGTGCCCAGCAGGTCGAAACTGGGGTGGACGTGAGTGTGCCACTGCACTCCAGTCTGAGCGACAGAGTGAGACTTCAACTAAAAAAAAAAAAAAAAAAAAGGAGTCTATGTGCAAACAAAGGTGATTCTGGATGCTTTTTCATACAAAAAAATTCAACAGATCAGGCCAGGCGACTTAAGGTCTACATCTCTGACTGCTGTCTGTGATGAGCTTTCCATCCAAAACAGAGATGGTAAAACCAAACGGGATTCAAATGTTGCCCCACATCCTGAAAGTCTCTCTCCCAAAGTTCGAACACCACGATGGATCAGGTCCCCAATTTAAAGCCTAATCCTTTATCGGAAGGTTGATTTTTTTTTTTAAGTTTCTCAAATATCAAACCAGATTCCACAAGCAGTTTATAAAACCAGGTAGCTTCCTGGACCGGGGCTAGGCACGAAGCTCCGAAAAGATCCACAGGTCTGCTGATGGGAGAGGGAATCAAGCTGAGGAGAGAGGCGCGGCGCAAAACTCGCCCGAATTGGAGCCAGAAGCTAGGCGCACTTGACCGCCCACCGTAGCCCTTCGCAGCCGTCAGATCCTCCAAACTCCGGGTCGGGGACCTTCCTCTCACATCCCAGCCTGGGCCGGGCGGGGTGACCCGAGTAAGCAGCCTGGAGCGCTTTGGACAGCGGCGCTCTCCTGGGCGGGGCATCGCCCAACGCAACCTGGGAGTTGCAGTCCGGCGGTCCGGCAACCTAAAGACTCGGGGCGGTTAAAAGACTACAATTCCCAGCATTCTCGGCTACGGCCCCGCCACTCACCCCGCCCCTCAGCGCGCCGCGGGCGGCCCCACCACGCGAAGTCAAGAGCAGCTCTCCCTAAACCTCCCTAGCTCGCGGGGACCGAGCGCGACCGGAAGGCCCGGGGCGGCGGGACTCACCCTGTAGTTATGATAATGCGACTCTACAAGATGCTGGTGGCGCGACTTGGCGTGGCCGAAGTTGGATTTCTCGCAAACCAGTAAGTGCCGAGGCGTCTCCCGAAGCCGGCGCAACGTGGCCATGCCCTCCTGGATTCCTGGTACCCGAACCTCCTTGGGCCGGAGCGCCCCGCCCCCTATGGCCCGCCCCACCTCTCTGGCCACACCCCTTCGTCCCTCCCCGCGGGCATGCGCAGTGCGTGCTACCGGTCCCGAGCTCACCTTCTTGCGCTTCAGGTGGTAGTGCTTTGGGATTAGCGGCGCACGGTTTCTGGACAGTTTCTTACATTTCTTGGGAACCCACGCGGAAGTACCCTGACGGTTGTCTGAAACTGTAGATTAACTGCCTCAAATGGAAAGACCTGGCCCCTGGGAGCCTGGCACTTGCCTTTTCTAAGCCTCCTTTTCTTCGACGCTCGGAGCGGCCGTAAATCCTCTAGTTGCGGAGCCCGCCTTGGATCCTTGGGCTGGCGAATGTCCCATACCTGAGTCAAGCCCCTCAGCGAGACCTCTGCCGCTGTCACAAAAAGAAGAAAACATCACAGTGGATTCCTGCATTATACAAAAAGTCAGGAAATGCAACTGCACGGTTAAGTAATCCCCTAACTTGCTTTGGGGGAGCCACACCCACGCTACTTTTTTGTCTCCTTACACAGTCAGATTCTGTGACTTCAGTAATCTTTTACTGAAATGTCAGTATTTGTTATTTTACTACGGACCTCTTAGCCACAGTTAACACAGGCAAACAAGACCAGAAGTTTGCGTTGGTCTTTTCCAAAACGATAAAGTTTGTGTGCGAATTTAATACACAGTTTCTGCACTTTTGCCCTCCTTTGAAACTACATTAAATATCCCTGTTTAGATATTCCTTCAGAACCACCTTTAATAGTGGATTGGTTTTTGGAGGTTACAGTGAGGATTCTCTTAAGTCATTTTCCCATTTCGTTTTTCTTGTTAACTTCAAGTATTACATTACTACGTATACATGCATATCAAATTGGAAAGTGCACAGCCCGAGTTCAGCACTGGATGGGTGCAAAACGGCAGAATACTGGTGAAACGTCTTTGTGAAGCATTGATTTTGCTACAAGATTTGGAAGAAATGGAGTTAGGTTAATTTACAAGCCACGTATTAAACGTTTAAAACCAAGACAAGATTGGAAAGTCATCTACCATCAATAACTATCAGTAACCTATGACTGAAATGTCAGACCTATTTTTTATTCTCTTAAGTAACAAATTATGAGGCATAGCAAGTCAATAAAAAGCCCTACTGATGTCCTAAATTTCTCTTAACCATTCCAAGCCATTGGGTTGCAGGGCTAAATCAGGATTTGGCACCTAGTGTAAGTTACAAATAACACATTAAGATGTAAAACCCTTAGAAACTTGCTTCCTGGTTACCTTGATTTAATATAGCTGTTAACATACAATTGCGTTGTGTGCAGTTTTGAAAACTCTCCAAAGCTTTGCAAAGTAGCTAGCATGATTCTGATGGCCTACCAATTGTATGTGGAAGCAACATGATGCTTTTCCAGCATAACACTTAGTGTAAGATATTGTATTTGAGCCGGGCTTGGTGGCTCAGCCTGTAATCCTATGCCTTTGGGAGGCTGAGGTGAGTGGATTGCCTGAGCCCGCGGGTTCGAGATCCGCCTGGGCAGCGAGACCTCATCTCTACAATAAATCAAAAAATCAGCCGGGCATGGTAGTGCATGCCTGTAATTCCGGCTACTTGGAAGGCTGAGGCAGAAGGATCGCCGGAGCCCAGCAGGTCAAGGCTGTGGTGGCCGAGAGCGGCCACTGCACTCCAGTCTGGGTGACAGAGTGAGACTCCAACTCAAAAAAAAAAAAAAGATATTGCATTTAGCTGGACACCGTGGCTCACACCTATAATCCCAACACTTTGGAAGGCGCAGGTGAGAGTATTGCCTGAGCCCAAGGGTTCGAGACCAGTCTGGGCAACTTGGCAAGACTTCATCTCTACATAAATAAAAAAAAAGCTAGCCGGGTGTGGCTGCACGCGCCTGTCATTCCAGCTACTTGGAAGACTGAGGCAGAAGGATCACCTGAGCCAAGCAGGTCAAGGCTGCGGTGGCCATGAGCGTGCCACACTGCACTCCAGCCTGGGTGACAGAGTGAGACTCCACTAAAAAAAAAAAGTTGCATTTTTTTGAAGACTCAAAATAAATTTTATCTACATAAATATCTCCTGAAAAGTGTATTGAGAGATAAATAATTGCTATGCAATTTGAGAATTAAAACTAAGCTGTGTTCTTCCAGGAAAATATTAACTGGAGAATGCCTGTATTATAAAACAGATGGCAAAAATTTAAATTGTTTTTAAAATGTTAAAGATTGAAACTAAATTCAAGTACATTTGAGTACTCGGTGTACTCGGTGTCCAGAGTGATCTCTTAAAAATGTGAAAATGATGATATGTGCTCCCCATCCCCGTTAGACCCTGCCACTGACTTCTGTTTGTGATAGAGTAAAAGCTTAGACCACCTGGCCCCTGCCCGTCCCTTTGGCTTCATCTCCTACCCTTGCTTGTTCATACTATGTGTATCAGACGTTCTGGTCTCTAGAACTGAAAACAATCTTAACTAAAAACAGATATTAGATTCTATATTATCTGTTTCCTTCCAGCATAGGGCATGGACGGAAAAGTCTAAGAATGAAGGGCCATAACTGATTAAAAAATCACATGAAGCTGAAACATTACTAATCTGTATGTATTTACCCAAAAGAATGTGGAACAAAGTGAATTTTTTTTAAAAACTGTGCTAATAGACCTGCAAAGAAGTAGAGATAACTTTGATCATATTCTGAAAACAAAAATATATTCTTAGTAAATAGAAAAGGACAAAAAATCTTACACATCAAATTTCTGGGCCATGATGTAATACAATAACAAGAACAGTTCAAAAAAATAACAAGAACAGTTTAAAGATACTCAACTCCTTGAAAATGTTAAGATATTCTTTTAAATAAATTAATGTTTGGGTCAAGGAACAAATCCAAAACACAGTTGCAGTGCTTATAAATATGCATGCTTGCAGATATAACCAGATACAGTGTTGGTGAAAGCAGTTAAATTAATTGGAATCCTAGCACCACCCTATAACATTTAACATTCTCTCTTTAGGATTAGGAGCAGCAGTGCAGAGAATTGTAACTGTTGCAGACACTGATATTAAATCAGAGAACTCCCTTCTGCTGAGCTTGATCATGATCCCACAGTTATTGTCAGCACAGGGTTCTGGGCCACTGCTACAAATCAGTGATGTTGGCTTACCAAGTCAAAACTGCCCTCAACAAGGTAGAAACTGGAACCAGTAGCTGCAGTGGAAAAAAATTAATGACTCCTGTTATGGCCGGAATATTTGTGTCCCCCAAAATTCATATATTGAAACCCAGTCGCCAATGCGATGGCATTAGGAGGTAGGGGATTTGGGAGGTTGCCAGTGGGATTTGTGCGCTTACTGCCTTGCCCTTCCACCATATGAGGACACAGTGTAAAGGTGCTCTCGATGAACAAGAAAGCGGGCCCTTCCCAGACCCCATCTGCCAGCACCTTGATCCTGGACTTCTCAACCCCCAGAAGTGTAAGAAATAAATTGCTGTTGTTTATAAGCCACCCAATCTATGGTATTCTGTTATAGCAGCCCAGACGGGCAAAGAGAACCCCAAGAAGATTCAGAGCCAGATGGCTTCATTTCTTTCTCCTGGGTTGCTCTCTCTCTGACTGGTGTGGATATGAGTGAAGTATGCCAGTATTAACCATGGCAGCTAATGGGTCATCTCAGCACACAGAGGTGTACAACTGAAGTCAGATTTTTTTTTTTTGAGTTGGAGTCTCACTCGGTCGCCCAGACTGGAGTGCAGTGGCCGCTCCCGGCCGCCGCAGTCTCGACCTGCTGGGCTCCGGCGATCCTTCCGCCTCAGCCTTGCGAGTAGCTGGAACTACAGGCAGGTGCTACCACGCCCGGCTAATTTTTTTGATTTATTGGAGAGAGGAGGTCTCATCAAGTTGCCCAGGCAGGTCTCCAACCGGCGGGCTCAGGCAATCCACTCACTTCCGGCCTCCCAAATTGCAGGGATTACAGGCGGAAATGGCTATTTTAAAAATAAAACGTATTAGCCGGGCTCGGTGGCTCAGCCTGTAATCCCGCGCCTTTGGGAGGCCGAGGTGAGTGGATGGTCTGAGCCCGCGGGTTCGAGACCCGCCTGCGCAACTTGGCAAGACCTCATCTCTACAATCAATCAAAAAATCAGCCGGGCGTGGTAGCGCGCGCCTGTAGTCCCGGCTACTCGGAAGGCTGAGGCGGGAGGATCGCCGGAGCCCGGCAGGTCGAGGCTGCGGTGGCCGGGAGCGGCCGCTGCACTCCAGTCTGGGCGACAGAGCGAGACTCCAAGCAAAAATAAGTAAATAAAAAAAATAAAACTTATTATTTTAATATATTGGTATATAAGAAGTTGGTACATAAAAAGTTTAAATCTGGACTATACAGAAGCTTTAGGCTTGGCACAGTGGCTCACACCTATAATCCCAGCCCTTTGGGAGGCTAAGGTGAGAGGATTGGTTGAGCCCCGGAGTTCGAGACCAGCCTAGGCAACATAGTAAGACCTCATCTCTACAAAAATTAAAAGATAAAACATGTAGGTGTGGTGGCATGTGCCTGCGGTCCCAGCTAATCAGAAGGCTGTCCTTTAGCCTGGGTGACAGAGAAAGACCTTGACTCAAAAACAAGACAAGACAAAAAACTTCAGATGTCTAGAATGAAGCATTTCCCAAAGGTCTTTGTAATTTTGGTTTGAAAATTGTTAGTGCCCAATGCAGTTGATGAAATAATATACATTCACAGAGAAAGGACCAATTGCTATAATATATACAAGTATTAGCAATTATATATAATAGCTACAATGAGTCAGGAACTGCTATAAGCCATTTATATTCATTATCTCACAAGAATCCTCTGTGAGATGGGTTTTAGTACCTTCACTTTTAGAGTATTATTAATTAGTAAACATTGCATGGAATTGAATAAAACATGAAAGGCTCTCAAACATATGTTGAATAAAAAATGAAAATTACAGAAGTGTAGCACATACATTTATAGAAAGTTTA